CACACACACACATGGAAAAAACCACACACAACACTAATTTTAAGGCAAACAAACAAATTAACAGATAACATGGCCCAAAACGACAAAAAATGTCAGATAGAAACTTGTGATTCTAAGGTAGCAATCGGTGTCTAATCAGAAATAGAACGGATTTCAAGACCTGCTACCTCCAAATGTAAAACTCCGTTATTAGATCTAGCAAGATTCAGATTTGGACCTCTTGATCCACCAAGTAGATTTTGCCGTCTTAGACTAAGAGCGTAAACACAGTGTTTCCATTTTCGTTTCATGTACATCTCGGCACTTCTATCGAGAGGTAAGCGAGACGTGAGCAAAATTGTTGTAGATAATTTTACTATCGATTCACTTACCTCTCGTTACTGCCCGAGAAAAGACATTGCAATTAATCAATAGAGACATAATTGTAACTTGTGCAGTTGTTGTGGCTAAAAAGAAGACGTGCTCATAACAGACGGTAACGGATGCATCCAGTTTTCCAACATAGCGAAACTTTTGGCGAATACCATCATCTTATGCAACAACAAATTTTAAGTGATGAAGATAATTAAGTATTTAACATACATCAGAATGACGACAGGTTCGTTTAAAACTTCTGGAAATTATTGGACTTCACATAGAAAAATGACTACAGTTTTCTGCACAACCACAATCAAAAGCTCATTTAACTTTGATGACTCCATCTTGTATTAGTGTAAACTATGTGTGTACTCGTCTTTTAAATGGCACACCACACCACACCACACCACACCACACCACACCGATAGCTGGGAGGCAATCGGATGAAAATTTTGTGCTGTGCTAAATTTAACTGTCCCCGTCGTTTTATGCAAGAAACATTCTGAAATTATGCAAACTGAGCCCAAAAATGTGAAATTATCCGATTTTGTTAATTCTAACATGATAAAGGAAAATAATCAGAAATTATGAAAAAAAACATGATCAAAATTTTCTAAATTATGCGGGTTGCATAAAACCACGGGGACAGATTTAATACTCACGACTCACGATACATGTACAAATTGTGTTTGTGTCCGGATGGACTGTATCAGCGATATCGAGAGAAAGAGACCTGTATTCTCGTGTCTCTGGTTGTTGTGTGACAAGTTCACCGGGGTCAAGAGCTGATATCGAAACGAAAGCGTGTCATAAACGGTTGCACTGTGTTTACGTTTTTACGATGTTCACCTACCTCATCCCCTAGCACGTGCTCTCTCTCTCTCTCTCTCTCTCACACACACACACACACACACACACACACACACACACACACACACATATATACATATACACTCTAACACAATATGAGCACACAAACGCCCAAACCCATACAGAAACACACGATCACCACTTTCTCTTGAACTCTCCCTTTTCTTATTAATCATTTTCCGGAACTCTTTCTTTAAGCTTGTCTCTCTATTCGTCACTCCCCCTAGCGCGCTCTCTCTCTCTCTCTCTCTCTCTCTCTCTCTCT